GGGGGGGGGGGGGGGGGGGGGGGGGTTGGGGGCTGCTTCTGAAAGTCATTCAGAGTCTTAAATAAGAGAACCAACCAGGTCGAAAAAAAATCTATGTTGACTTCTTCAGCTATTGTTCGGGCCACCTACAAAACTTTACTCTTGAGGGGAAATCACAGTTTCTTTCTCTTCCATTATGGCCGTAGTTCTCTACGACTCAAAATCCTAGCCATCCAATGCTTCTAACAGTAATGGGATACGACTTGACTTTTATTTATGACCTAACAGTCGACTGTTTAGCCCCCACTGCCAGATCTTCATTAAGTATTCAAAGAGTAATTCCAGTATCAGCTGTTGGTGGCTTCCATGTGTTTATGACTTTCCCCTGTGGCAAGCTACTGCATGGACGTACAGATCCTACACCCATTTTGTTCATCCCATGAGTTTTACAAGGTGGATTAGTGTGAATGCTTTAAAACACACTTACAAGGGGACGTCTGGGTGGCTCAGTCCGTTAAGCCTCGGACTTCAGCTCAGGTCACGATCTTGCAATCTGTGTGTTCGGAGTCCTGCGTCAGGCTCTGTGCTGACAGTTCAGAGCCTGGAGTCTGCTTTGGATTCTGTGTCTCCCTCTCTCTCTCTGCCCCTTTCCTGCTTGTGCTCTCTCTGACTCTCTCTCTCTCTCTCAAAAATAAACATTAAAAAAAACATTTTTTAATAAAATAAGATAAAATAATTTTACAAGTAAGGATTCTGACCCCCTTCATCCCCACACTGCATCGTAGGACTTGAGAAAATGAACATCAGGCAGGCACCATATCTGGAGGGGGGCAGGTACTGAAATGAGTAACGTCTTCCTTTGAAAAACTCACAACGCAATGCTTGGAGAAGGGAAACAGGACAGGAATAGATCAGGCCACCTTCACAATGATTTACTTCATCTTTTTAGTATTCCCAATGAGGAATCTTGATTTCCTGTTACTTATCTGGAGGTGAGATAAAAACAAAAAACTCGAGCGACAGTTCTCACACTCACCGATTGCAGGAACCCTCGCCACTCCTACAACTATTTGAGGACCCCAAAGCATTTTTACTTACGTGAATCGTACCTGTCCATACTTACGCATTAGAAATTAAAACTAAAAAAAGTTGACTTATTTAAAAAAATGAATCCACTACATATACATAGAAATGACACACTTGTATAAAAAAAAAAAAAAAAAAAAAAAAAAAAAAAAAAAAAAACCCTGTATTTTGCAACGCCAAAATGTTAGCGAGGAAAATGGCATTGTTTCTCATCTTGAAAATCTCTTTGGTATCTGGTTTCATAGAATTAGGTTCTCATAATTTCAGCATTTATTCTCTTGCGATATGTTGTTTTGCTTGAAATATATACAAAAATACAGCCTCCCACAAATACGTAGTTGGGAAAGGGAAGATGATATTAATAACTTTTCAGATAATTGTGGATATTCTTCTTTGATACTATACTAAAACTCAATAAGAGGTGACTTCTTAAAGGTTAATTGCTATGTGGACTCTGGAACCCTATCAATGAACCTTTCATGCTCTTGTTACATTAAAATTCTTTGAACAGATTTGCACTTTGGATAAATCTTTTAGCCAGACATGATTTGCAGCATCATGCCTTGGTCATTTGGAAAATATCAATATATTGATTTATACAGAACTTTCAAATGTTGACACATTTCGGCATCAAAATCCCATTCATTAATATCGTCACTGATTTCATCGAAGTCTTAGTATTTAGAAGCTGTCAAGCTCACAGGGGTGGATACAGGTTTTTCAAAACAGAAATGTGGCCGGTGCAACTGAGTAAATTTTTAATATTAACTTTTATTAATTTAAACTTAAATAGTGTAGCCCGTGTGTGCTGTATTGAATAGCACAAGTCTATAACATTCTAACCAAGCAGGGACAGAAATCATAAAGCACCAGTACCCATTTAATCAAAATAACATTTGGTCTAACTGAATCTACTCACTAGCTTGTTGACTGGGAGAACAAATCAAAGTAAATACAAACTCATGGGTGTGTGTATATCTCCTGTTCTGTACAAAAATATATAATTATCTGAAGCCACACAGTATCATATACATTATTCCAGAAGATCTTGATCATTCTTGATAATTTTTCTATGTGTCCCCAATATTTCCCATATACTCGTCTTATAATTTGCCTCCAGGATTTCCATCCTACTAGCTTTCAAGCTTTTTCTCTCCTTTCATTGCTAGCAGCTGTCTTTTCAATGTTCCCTGACATCTTTGTGGTCACAGAGTTCATCTTAGCCTGACAGTCTAAATTACTATTTCTCTATTGTTTCCTTAGTGGTGGTTCTTCCTCTTCTCAGAGCTCTCGCATGCAACTCTGGCATTTGTATCGTTTCCAAAAGTTTTACATGTTTAAGAAAAGAAACGTTCAAAGCCATTAAATAAAAAGCTGAGAAGCACTCACAGATTCCAAAAAGACATTACCTACCCGTCACGTATCCCTATTTATAAAATTTCAGGCACCTTTCCTATACACCCACTGGTTGCAGGACTGCTCAGGGGTCAAATCCGCGCTACACTGAATGTCTGGAGACATCCCTAAACATTGTTTTATGTTATACTGTAAGCATTATGTTTTATAAACAGCAAAGCGTTGGGCTGAACGTGTTGTATGAATGAACTCATTAATTCTCACGTACACACAAAAAAACCTCCCAAGGGCAAAGCTTAGCATTTCCATTTTACAGGTAAGAAAAAATTGAGCGTTCAGGAGATTAGGCATCTTGCTCAAACTCCCTCAGCACAAGCCAAGTCAACAGCATTGGAATTCGACCCACTCCGTGACTGACTCCAAGGCCACCTAACTAATAAATAAGGAGGGAGATAGGTGAATGCATAGACAGACAGACAGAGGGGCAGGCAGGTAGATGGAAAGAGAGAGAAAGACAGCGAACACCCTCTGCCTATTATTGCCAAATGTGGCACTCCAAGTCCAGCACACTGCACTTCTAAGCCAGGCAGCTTAGCAGATGGGCAGCCAGCAGGATACAGATTCAAAGACCAGAGCAAGAGCTGCAGAATACGTAGCGCTGAGGTTTCTGCAAAAACCTCCACGGGCAGGTAGCAGCCAAATACATTCTCCAACCTACTGTACTGAGCACAATGTGGGTAAAACTGCTCTCCGTGGTTGCAGAATTCTGTTTTTCCCCTTTCCTAGTTACTGATCGAGAGACAGCTTCAGATGCCCTGGAGAAAAACTCTCCATCGTCTGCAGACCCTCAGCAGCCCACTAGCACTGGTAAGTGTCAACCCATTAAAACTTAAGACCAAAAAAAAAAAAAAAAAAAAAAAAAAAAAAAAAAAAAAAAAAAAAAAAAATGCCTCCTCGGGAAGGTCACTTTTCCAATTCTCAATTTTCAGATTTTTAAAAAATTTTAATAAGACTATGCAGGACCCCCTCTGCTGGTTCCAGCTTTGTGGTAGAATGTTCCCTTAGTTGGGGGCGGGGGGGCTTCAGGGCCACTAATGCCTTGTAAATTCAGTGCTATGTTGCTTGATACACACACACACACACACACACACACACACACACACACACACACACACAGACAAAATAGTGACCTTTGAATTTCCTCTATGGTAAAGGGCAAGGTTGTATTCATTTATGGAGAGACTCGTTTCATTGTTTTCTCATCCAGAACAGACTAAACACAAAATAAAGACTTGATTTCAGCAAAGGGCAAAGAAACAGGATCTGGAGATTTGCTGCTCTTCGTCACAGAAGAACAAAATCACCTTTGAAAACACCTCAGTTACTTGGTTGTCAAGAACTCGGATAGTTTTTGATGACAGGATTGAACCCTAAACACAGAATTTAAAAAGCCTGAATGAATTATAACCAACTTTTTAGACAGTGAACCCATTGGGGGGTTAACTGTGGGGAATAATCACGTGTTTATCTTTGTATTTTACTAGCGTAGTATCTGGCACTAGGAGGTACTCAGAAAACGCAGTACGAATATATACGTGTATGAATACATTCATTTGTTATGATGTTTTGAGCAAAACAGCCTCAGCCAGAAAGGGCAGAAATTCCTACGTGTCCTCTTCCTATTTCAAATAGTGTGTCTCTAATAATTTCATTTGATGGGATAAATGTTTTCGTATCATTAGCATGTATGTTCATGGTTGAGTATCAGATTGTATTTTTCTACAACTTTTATCTGGAATAATATTTAAAAAGTCAATGTTTGGGGTTTCTAAACACCGATAGAAGCAATATGTACCGTACGGTTTTTTGAAGGGCGATGGAAATTGAAAATAACCTGAAGTGGAGCGGTCACATCACTTGCTTTAATAATCCAATTTTTTTAAACGTGTTTAGAATCGACTTGTCTTTAAATTGGCTTACGGAGTTACTAAACAACCCAATTTTCTGCTCTGCTTTTTCATATAGAACCGAAGATTTAATATGGTTTCTAAATTTCCTTTCAGCTTCCAATTCCTATGATTGTATTACAGTTAATAATAGCCATTTTCAGTAGAATGGGTGGTCTCATTCCCCGTGGGATCCACACAGTGGCGCTGTGCAATGGGCTAAAAAAGCAAGAGACTAGGTTGGGAGGGGGAGGCGGGGAGGTGGGAATAGGCAGGACGAGCAACAAAATCAGAAGAAGAGATCTCTTATTTCTATGACTTCTCTCACTTAGCAAAACCATCACAGAACACCCTGCTTCTAAGGGGGAGAGGCCAGTACAGGTTTGAATGACAAGGGAGCCTATTTTTCAACATAAAAATCATTGCTTTCCAGGCTGCTAGCTTATCCTTCCATAAAGCTCGGGATGCCACCCTTCAGTGTTCTGTTGTTATCTTGCACCTTTCTAAAGACCTTCTCGCTCACAGGCCTGGTTCAGGTGGGAAGTATAAAAGAACGGTTTAAATTGTGCATTCTGAATTTTGGGATAGGCTCTGTCACTTCTTTGCTGCGTGACAATTTACTTAGCTTCTCTAAGCCTCTGTTCAGAGCTGCCGTGAGAAACATACTAAATGCTCAGTTTCAGGCTTAGCACAGTGTTCGGTCAACATGTATCTTTAAAAAATAAGGCAAAATGAGCCTGGCCATTTGCAACTATTTTTGGGAAAAGTCAGTAGTTCAGAAATAGTCTTGTGTTTTGTTTGTTTGTTTTGTTTGTTTGTTTTTAAGTCGGACTACTTAATTTGGTCCCCAAAGATGCTTTGCTGTTTGGGAATTAGTATGTGTATATACACGCTATTCACAGAGAGTCAGATGTATATATCATGTCTTAACTTCTTTCAACTTAGTTGCAGTAGTGGAAGATTCTAATACAACAGAGATTGACAAGGAAGAGAAAAACCAAACCGCTCAAGATCCTGACTTAACCACTGGTAAGTGTCCCCTACAGCATTTAGAATAAACACTTGACATTTTAACCTCTGAACCAATAAATCCAATGGCCTTTTTCTGTCCCTACTTTCCTTGACCTTTTTATTGGTTAATCCCTCCCTTGTTCCTTGACTTAGGGTCTCCCTGGCTTCCCTGACATACTCTGCCTGGTCCTGTCACTCTTTGCTAATCAGTCCTTCTCTGTGTCCATGAGCTAACCTCCCTTCCTCCTCTGGCTTCATATATGTGGATATACTTCTGACTTTACTTCTCTATTCTTGATTCCTCCCTTAATTCTTAAAGGGTTTACCCCTCCCCAGGATTGTTCCTATTGCCACTACGCAGAAGGTTTCCATACCTATGCTTCCAGAACATTCTCTGGAGAATGAATCCCTATTGCATTCCACCTCCTACATATCCCTTGGCTGGATTTTCTGCCATCTCTTCAAACTCAACATCACTAAAAACCGAACAGCATCTTTTCCCATAAAATCAGCTTGTCCAAACCATCACACAAGCCCCACACCTTGGTGTCATCCTTCACTCCTGCGTGTGTACATACACACACACACACACACACACACACACACACACACACACACACACACATAAAAAATCAGTCCGTCTCCAAGGACTTTTGAGTCTTCCCTTCCAGATTTTTGTCTACTATCACTGCCACCTCCCTGGTCCAGACTCTCATCGTCTCCTGCACAAAGTCTTGTGACTCGCTGGAGTTGTGATCATTTTTAAGACTCTATTATCGAAACACCCCTCTGCATGCTTCACACCTGTGTTCACAAGACCTCTGCGGCTCCCACAGTCTACGGGGCAGAACAGGACCCTCAAACCTCCCATAAAGTGCACTCTGACTTCTGTTTTATTAATTTATTTGTTTCTACAGAGAGAGGACTATGCCCTAAAGCACAGAGATTGTGTCTAATGAGCTCCAAGCAGCTCCACACGTAGCTGGTGCTCCTGAACTGCTTGTTGTTAGAGGGGGCAGGACATTTGGGCAAAATCAGAGCCGGCTGAATCCGAGTGTGAGGTTTAGAAAGATCTTCAAGACCTCACCTCGTTGATCTCCGAATGCCTTCATGGAGGACTACCTTTAACCAAGCCAACATTCATGAATGTTCGCTGCATTTGCATAGCTTTTCACACTCCTTAACAACCTCTCTTGCTGCTTAACCACACGTTGCTAAAAAACTCATTTCTTACAGCTCACTTAAATCCCCCGACTCTAATCTAAGTCAATATTCTTGCCTGCGTTCTCTAGAAATGAAAAATCACAGCTTCACTACCTACGGCACATAAGAGCGTTTTTCCAATCACCTCACAGAATGGCCTTGTTTGTCTGTCCGCCTGTTGGCTTGTCTCTGGAGAATAAATAATATGAATCTCTTTCCCTTCAGGTTAAAGTCCTCCGTCTTTTTGTCTGAGTGGCCTATCCGCCTATCTGACATTTGGGAAGCAGCCTGCAAATTCCTCAGGGACGGAAGCAAACCGACCTTGAGCTGAATTCCTCCTCTCATTTGCCTTACAGAAACAAATCTTCAGTATGTGGGGGTGATAAGGAGGAAAAATGGCATTCTGCTGCTCACCCTGGTCTCCTTTCTCATCTTCATACTCTTCATCATCGTCCAGCTCTTCATAATGAAGCTTCGGAAAGCACACGTGATATGGAAAAAAGGTGAGCGGCGGGGGAGCTGGTGGGGGGCTGCAAGATGCAGAAACGGTTGGCTAGCCAAAAGGAAATTCTGCCAACTTAAAGCTTTTCTGTTAGATACTTCAGCCATCTGTTTGGGAAGTGTTGTCACGCAAATACGCCATGGTCTGTTTCGTAGTAAACACAGGATGTGCAATCTCCAGGGGCTCTAATCAGAGAGCGTATAACCAAGAGAAAATAGAGTAGCCCCGGGGATTGACATTAAATTATAAAAGCTGCCATTCGCAAAAGGACGCCAGGCGGAAAACGCATTCATTCATATACTCTATTCATGGAGTACCTATCATGCGCAGGGCGCGGTTCCAGACACTGGGGATACCTCTGTCAACAAGATCCCTGCTCTCAAGGAGTTCATATTCTAGGGACGGTCAATCAAAGGTTGAATGTATGCTGTCTTGGTTGTGCTCTTACTTTGTTTCAAAAAAAAAATTTTTTTTAATGCTTGTTTATTTTTGAGAGAAAGAGAGAGTGCGTGAGGGAGCATGCACGCAAGAGGGGCAGGGGCAGAGAGAGAGGGAGACACGGAATCCGAAGCAGGCTCCGGCCCCGAGCTGTCAGCACAGAGCTCGATGCGGGGCTCGAAACCCACGAACCGCGAGATCATGACCTGAGCCAAAGTTAGATGCTTAACGGACTGAGCCACCCAGGTGTCCCAGTTGTGTTCTTACTTTGAAATAATGCAGTCAGCCTCCCTCAACCATAATATGTTAGTAATTTTTGCTAAGCATTCTGGTTTAAAAGTTATCAATGCGGGGGAAAAAAAAAATATATATATATATATAAAACATTATAATAGTATTATATATGCTATTATAATAGTATTATATACACTATAATAGTTCATACAATATTATAAAAGTATCATATATAATAGTATAATAGTATCATATATAATAGTATTACATAAAGATTATTATATATATTATGTATATATGTAATATATATATAATTCAGCCAGCATGTAATATATATATAATTCAGCCTATTGAAATGCATAGATTCAACACATATCAGGGCTGGAAGGACTTCAGAAGTTATCCAGAGTAACTATCTACTCAATTCCTTCTATAAATGTGTACCAGGGTGATATCCCCTCTTTAATTCTGAGTGATTATTTAGACCTGTGTTGCCCAACAGAGTAGACACAACATGGCTATTGAGCACTTAAAATGTTGCCAGTTGCTTTCGAGATGTGCTGCAAGGATAAAATATACACCCCACTTTGAAAACCCAACATGGGGGCACCTGGGTGGGTGGCTCAGTTGGTTAAGCGTCCGACTTTGGCTCAGGTCATGATCTGGCAGTTCGTGAGTTTGAGCCCCGTGTCGGGCTCTGTGCTGACAGCTCGGAGCCTGGAGCCTGCTTCAGATTCTGTGTCTCCCTTTCTCTCTACCCCTTGCCTGCTCACACTCTGTCTCTCTCTCTCTCTCAAAAATAAACAAACATTAAAAGAAAGTTAAAAAAAAAAAAAAGAAAACTCAACACACACACAAACACATTTCTAATAACATATTAGATCTACTACTAGGTAAATAAAATATAAATTGTTAATAATTATTCATTTTACATACTTCTTTTTGCTTTTTCAACATGGCCATTAGAAAATTTATAAAATTACACATGTGACTTGCATTACAGCGTTGCTGGCCCAGGATCATTTAGCGACATATGGCTCCAACATCCCCAGTAGCAGAGAACTCATTATGTCCCAAGGCAAAATACACTACCTTTTTGAATGGCTCTCACCCTCTTAAAAGTACAACTTCCGGTTTGATGTCACTCTCTCTATATATTCACCTGGACCAACATTCATCATAATTAGACCTAGAGACAAAGTCTGGCTTTTCGGCTGTACCTGCGCAACAGGCAAATGTCATCATACAGTTGCAAAGTCCCCCCGTTAATGCTTCACCCCCATGGTTCGTTAAGGCCTCCTGGAATCATTCCATCTCAAAGAACAATACTTGATTCTAATCTGTGGTCATTTGATTTCCACAACTCTTACACTGCCTAGCACAGTGCCTGCAGGAATCATAGCAAAGAACAAAAACAATTCTCTAAATGAATGAGGGCATGATGTATGGGACGGGCAGGGGTAAATCCACTATTGTGTAGACAGAAGGATCATCTTATTCAAAATACATTTCTACACATAGGTGATGTGTGACATCAGAAACTAACAACACAGTTTTCTTTTCTTGCAGAGAATGAAATTTCAGAACACACGCTGGAAAGTTACAAATCGAGGTCAAATAATGAAGAAACATCATCCCAAGAGAAAAAGGACCAAAGTGAGTCACCTACATGACCTAAAACTTGAAAAATGAGCTTCATTAATTTGTTGTCTTGAAGGAGGAGGGTGAAACGCCAAGTCTGATTTTTAGCACTAGAAAGTCAATCACCTAAATCGTCTTGTGTAGCACATAAGTGCATCTTCCAAAATGAAAAGTAGAGACCATTAAGTTCCTTTGAGAAGCCATCTCTGTGTCCTGACTGTCACACCCAGACACACCCGTAGACTGTACGTCCCTCTTGTGCTGAGGGGTATCTCACAGACACCTTGACAGTCCAGCACTTCCCGCACCAACTGGTCATTTTTGATGTGTTGATTTAGCCACCACAGTACTCCTTTGGGTGGTGAACAGCTGGGTTGATCTCAGTGTGTCCTCAGATTCTAACACAGGGCCTGATGCGAATGGAGTGTTTGACAAATGTGTGTTGAATAAATGAACACAAGGCTTAACTGATTCAAGCAGAAATGTTTGGGGGCTTTTGGAGCACTCAATTGCAGTTTCCCAAGCAAAATATGTTTCCAAAGAGTGAAAGGAAGGGTCTAAAAGGAGATTGTGTGTGTGTGTGTGTGTGTGTGTGTGTGTGTGTGTGTGTGTGTGTGTTTGACAAAAATCCAGTAGACAGCAACCAGCGCTACGGTAAAGAATCTTATACCTTCCAACCGTTTTGTTTCCTCCATGCAAATTAACTTCCTCCCCCTGCCAAGAGTTGCAAGACATGCAGAAGAGCTTTGCTGCTAGTTTCTAATGGTTTTATTGAGGTTTTTGTAGGAAGCCGGTCTTTCACAACACCTCTGCCCTTTTTTTGCTTTGACCCAGTAGGGTGTGAAGTGGGAAGAATCACTGACTGGCTGGGAGAGGGGAACAAGAGGGCAGACTGTGAGAACTGGGGGTGTGAGGGGAAGTGTGTGTAAGGTGCAGAAAGTCTGTTGTATCGCATGTGTTTCTATAACGTCAATGTCTGTGTACTCGACCCGCAAGTAGGAGAATAACGTCAGTATGAGGCGTAAGTTGGATTGTTTCCTATGCCAATTTTCCCAAGTCAGGGGCACTAGAACAGTGGGCGTTGAATTGTAACTTTTAGCAGGAGAAAAAAATGCCCTGACCTCAGCTGCTGAACAAGCAGAAAGCCTTTTGCAACTCAACTTAAGAAAATGAGTACTTTCACTCAGGGCTCCCTCCCCAGAAAGGTCCAATCTCAGGGGCTTGCCACAGAGGTGGGAGGTGGTACTTCCCCCTGGGCTCCAACCTCTACGTCCATCCTCCTTACCTTGGCTCCGTCAGACCTGACATTTCAACTTCACTGTTTTCGCTCACTTAAAAAGCATCCTCTGGAGCTGTCTCCCGCCTCTGTGTATAGTTAACGGGCTTTGAGTGGTCCTGTTTCCCGTAAGCCCTGTGACTTTCAGTATAAAATTTGCCAAATGCAACGTGGGTTTTTATTTGTTGGGTTTTACAGCAGAAATGTCTACATATTTTATTTCAGGTTGGTTAGCGTATTGTTTACGTAAGACTTTTTAAAAATCAGACTCTGGCAATGCATTCAGACCATTTATAGGATATGTACCCATCGATTTCTGATTTGATGTTTAAGACATTAACATATGGACCTAACAAGACCACGTGCAGTCAACGTGTCCCAAACGAACAGGTGCACTGTTGTTCAAAAGGAATGTTCATCTTCGACCTGCTTTTCTTTCAGCTTTCCACTCGAAGAGCTACATGAACTACATCACACGGTTGTACTCTGAAGCAAAAACAAAGCGGAAGGACGATTCACGGAGTTCGAAATTCAAAGGAGAGCCCGCTCATATACCAGAGAGCATCGTGTAACGTTCTTTGCAACAGCAAATATTGATTTCGGTGCAGCTGCCTCACAGTGGAGCAGCCTCTGGGAAGGAGCATAATTACGGTCACAAGAAAAAATATACTTTGAGTGCAATGCAACATGGTAGCCTCCCGTGGCACACTGCCCTGGATTCAGGGCTGTGAAATGAGGACCAGACCATGGACACAAAGCTTCATAGTTTAAAAACAAAAAAAAAAAAAAGAGAGAGAGAGAGAGAGAGAAGAGAAGAGGAAAAGAAAAGAAAAAAGAAGAGCAAAAACCTATCATGCCTGACACTACTTCAGAGAAGGAGGAGACTCTTAAGTCTTGGAGATCAGGGTTGATTGGGCCAGCTAGCATCTTACCATGAAGGGAAAAGGAGTCTTTAGATGCTGGGCTTGAGCAGAACTACTTTTAAAAAAAAAATTTTTTTTTTTATAAATCTTTCCTTCTGATCGCCAAATACAAACTTTGGGATGGAAAGGACCTAAAGAAGGTCTCCAATCCTAGGAGCTTACTTTCAAGAAGGGCTTTAAGAAGATGTAGCTTTAGTTCAAGGCGGGCCCAAAGATTTGATTTTCGAAGGTTTTCTTGCTAAATCACAAGAGCGGACCTGGCCAAGTTTTCACCAGGACATTTCATTACAAAAACATGTACCAAAACAACAACAACGAGTTTAACTTACTATGACCTAATTCATGCTTTAAAAAATTATTTAATAAAAAGCTGAATGTTTTTCCAGTGGTTGTGGTCCAAGTTGTATTTCCTCCTTTTATTTACCATGGGAAAGGGACAGGTCTTCCCCACCCCCCCATCAGTTTATTTAAGATATAGCAAATGCTGAATAAGCATTCACTTATGACATTTCTCATTATTTGGACCTGAATAAACTAATTCTAAAATAATATCTCCCCACCCTATCACACACACTCATATTATGAGTTTATAATTTGTTACAGAACCAGATACAGCTGTGATCTTTTTTTCTTGATAAAAAAGAAAAATTAAGTAATCTGTTCACCCAACGTGGGGCTCAAATTCATGACCTCGAGATTAAGAGGTGCATGCCCTCTGACTGAACCGTACAGGAGCCCCCCAAAAAAATTTTTTAAGAATGATAAAATTACTGAAAGGTGTAAAAATAAAACAGCATTTTTCTTTCTGAACCATTTGAGAGAGTCAGTTGACATGCTGCCTACCACACCCCAAACACTTGCATGTATATATCCTACAAGCAAGGACACTTCCCCTGTAACTACAAGGTAACTGACAAAAATCACAAAATTAACATTGATAGATTTCTACTAACAGTCTTCAGACTCAAGTCTCTCCAACTGTCCAGAGGATCCAGAGGATCCAGTTGAGAACCACTTGTTTCATTTTAGTCTCGTTCAAGTTTACAACAGTTCCTCAATCTTTCCTTCATGTTCGTGATGTTTTGAGATACTTTTGAAGATTGTGGGCTAGTTTATTTTGCAAACTATCCCTCAGTTTGCCTTTGTCTGATTGTTTTTTCGTGATTAGCTTCAGGTTATGAAACTTTGACAGGACTGTCACAGGAGTGAGGTTTTGTTTCTCTCACTGCATTTTATTCACCCCTTTATTGATGATGTTTACTTTGATCACTTGATTAAGGCGGTGTCAGCCAGACCTCCCCACTGCAAAGTTACTCTCTCCTCCCATGTAAACTAATATCTTGTGCAGAGATGCTTTAAAAATATGTAGAGGGGCGCCTCGGTGGCACAGTCAGTTAAGCGTCCGACTTCAGCCAGGTCACGATCTCGCGGTCCGTGAGTTCGAGCCCCGCGTCAGGCTCTAGGCTGATGGCTCGGAGCCTGGAGCCTGTTTCCGATTCTGTGTCTCCCTCTCTCTCTGCCCCTTCCCCGTTCATGCTCTGTCTCTCTCTGTCCCAAAAATAAATAAACGTTGAAAAAAAATTTTTAATAAAAAATATGTAGATACCTATTCCTCATCCCCTTCCAAGCTACTCATTTATTTATATCTGTATGGACTCACAGTTTCCTGTTATCTAAGGAGTCACAATCTGTTACTAGTCTCTCATTCACTGGGTTATAATGTTACCCTCAAATTAATGTCTTGCTAACTGGGTGATCAAATTGTGAAAACGGGCTTTTGTGTCCTTCTTATCCTCAGCCTGTGAGCACTTTCTTCCTTTCTGGTACAAAATATTCCACGCTCATCTTAAACTTTTCCTGCCTCAGCCCTGTAAGGAGCCATTTCTCCGAGGATCCCTGGTTCCTTTCAGTGGAAAGGGATATGTAGAAGCCAAAACATAGGGGCGAGGTGTACTCATTGCTTTGGGGCTATCATCGTTCTCAAGTCATCTCAGTAGACAGAGCTAGGAAATATATGAGAAAGTATGCATATAGTTGACCCTTGAACAACATTGGTTTGAACTTCCCAGGTCCACTTACACACGGTTTTGTTTTTTAAGAGTGGGCAGCAAAAGCCAAAGGGCATTTATTTACAGCTGCCCACGCCAGTTCCAAGACCAAATTGAAGACAACTGGTGGAAAGGTCACACCTGCTGCCTGTGAGCACAATGGGAGACCCGCAGTGGCCATGAGCAACCCCCAGAAACCCTGGACCCACCCCTTCAAGTCCTGCATGATCTGGATTCCCTCTTGGTGCTAAGGTGGCTGGGACTGTTTCTATTGCCCTGCTGCCTTTGAAGCAAGAGACCAAACTAAGGTGCCAACATTACAGCACCATGCAGAGCAGAGGTAAGCAGACTTAGCCAATCGTCAGAATCACCTGAGAGGATTTCATAAAACAGGGACTCCCAGGTTTGTCCTCAAAGAACTGGTCATGGCAATCCCAAAGACAGAGCTTTGGGATTTGCGAGTTTTGTTTTGTTT